ATTACTTGAAGTACCCTTACAAGTCTTATAGGTTATTGAGGTTATTGTAAAAACTATTTCATCAAAGTACGTCATGATCACTCGAACTGTTTTCATGAAATAATCATGCTGCACCGCATGTCACCACGTGCCAACCAATTGCTCACAGCTTCCTAGGAGACAGATAATTATTTCTGCTAACCCCGCCCCCCCCCCCCCCCCCCCCCAAAAATAATTGAACTATCATAGGAAGGACTTAAGTGACATGTGAAGAAAAGTGTGTGAGCTGAAAACTTTTCCAGCGGCTTATTCCGTCAACTCAGCAGTTGGTATGGAAGAAGACGATGAAGAGAATTTCTAAGACGTATTCAGGCATCAGGCAAAAAAAGAAAGACAAAATAAAACGGATAAATTTGACACAATGTAACAAAACTCACTGTATCCATGAAAAGTTAATGTCACGTTAACTTCAACTTCCACGAAACAAGGTTGTTCACACAAAGTGTGCAAAACTTAAATTTTAAATGACAGGATTCGGTGAACCCGTTTATATCAAAATTTCGACTTTAAGAACTCTCAAATTTTTAAAGCAACTGTTTAATGAACAGAATAGTGCACGACAGGTGTCCCGAAGCTAACTGATATCCACAGAAAGAAACAAAGAACTTCAAAAGAAAATAGCATTCAATTAAATCCTCATTTTTACCTTTTGGACCAAATCTCAGTGAATATATACTTCTTACTGATACTAAATGTAAAAAAAAAAACCTGCAATTGATTTAGGCCAGTAATTTTATAATAATTTTAAGGTGTTCTTAGGGAATTTTCATGTGAGGTAAACGTAATTATTATTAATATGCCTTATAAAAATGACCTTATATTTATACATTTCTACCTCCCAGTTACAACCACAAATAGCTTATTAAAGGACGTGTTTTTGTTTGGGGACTTTGATCAAAAAGGCAATTATACTCATTCTATACTGACATAGTAGTCAATAGTTCACAATACCCTTTTGTGAGCTGAAATGGAAGATGGATACAATTGGAATACGCCTTTGGGTAGGAGGTTCTAAACGAGTTCTTCACGGCTCAATTTTAGTTACTTGGTCACCATATAACTTAAATTGTTTGAGAAAGAATGATTGCACGAGATAGACGCGTGGCTGCCAAACGAGAATAGTGCTCTTTTCCGTGGAAGCAATGGATTTTGACATATCTGAGACAGGTAGTTCTGTTCATATTGCTCCTTTTTGCACGCCTGAAAGGAAGGAGATCAATATCGTGTAATTGTTTCGTCACTTGGAAAAACAAAAGTTAGATAGAAGCAGATTCAGCGTTTTTAGCAATAATTGACACAAGTGATTAAGTCGAACATTAGGCTATCAAAATATTATCTACACTCTCGATGCTATCCTGTCAGCAATCTCAACGCATGCAATCAATCCTCGGTTTCACATCGCATAGCTCTGTGTACAATTAATATTGAAGGAAATGTAACTTATAGGTCTAGGACGAGTGAATCAACTGGGAGGCGTTTACATCAATGGAAAGCCTTTACCGAAAGAGATCAGGGAAGAGATCATTGAACTGGCGCGACTGGGCGTTCGCCCTTGCGACATCAGTCGCCGCTTGAAAATTACCCACGGCTGCATCAGCAAGCTGCTGTCAAAATACCAAAAGACGGGATCTATCAATCCTGGAGGTACTAATGTCGGAAGACCAAGGGTCATCACTCCCAAAATAGAGGAAAAGATAGAGCAGTATAGGAGAGAGCAGCCAGGGATTTTCTCATGGGAGCTTCGCGATCGCCTTCTTAACGAAAATGTTTGCAGCCGAGAGAACCTGCCTTCACTAAGCTCGATCAGCCGGCTTATCAAGCATAAAATGATGGCTCGTGCAGTTTGTAACAAGCAAGGGTACAAGAAGAATGACGAGAATTCGCAGATGAGCAGGAACGTTTCATCTCATTCTATTGAGGACATTTTAAACCTTCCAGTTGAAAATTCAACGGGGTTTCAGAGTCCAGAAGACCAAGGTAAGTGTATGTCCAAAAATTCTGCGAAACACGGACTTCTCAAATTTCCTATCATTAATTTCTAACATTTGCCTCAAAGACTCCGAATGACGGAGCACAAACAAAGACATCGTAAGATGAATGAACAATGCTTCCTCGCAATGTCGCGGAATTTTTTTCGTCAAGTTAACCCGACCTTTTACTTTCGGTTCGGAACTGACCAGTTTTACCTTTTTCCCGATTAAATAAGGCGGAATCAAAGTGCCTAACTTTTGGGCACTGTTTGCCGGCTCTAATAACGGTGCGA